CGACTTCTTGCTCGTCGACGAGGCGTCGCAGATGCTGCTGACGCATCTGAGCATGTCGCTCCCCCTCCTGCAGGACCTCCGCCCGCCTGTGCCCGGCCGCCCTCCCGGCCGGCTCATGGTTGTCGGCGACACAAAGCAGATGGGCCCACTCCTGGCCGAGCAGTACCCCGAGGCTGCGGACGGGCTGCCGCCCGTGCACGCCTCGGTGCTCCGGTGGCTGGCGGGGCGCGCGCTCGCGCCGCTGCGCCGCGGCGACCGCGTGGCGCGGCGCGGCGGCGAGTTCTTCATCCTCGGCCCCGCCGCCGCGGAGGGCACCTACGCGGCGGCGCCCGTCGGCGGCGGAGGGCCGGTCGAGCTGGCCCGCGCCGAGCTGCAGCGGGGCCTGGTGAGCTCGCTGCAGGAGAACCACCGCATGTGCGACCAGCTGGCACGCCTTGCGCGCGAGGTGCTCGGGTACGCCGAGTACACCGAGTGCCACCGCCGCGGCTGCCCGTGCAGCAAGCGGTGGCGCGCCGATGGCGTTGCGGGAGGAGTGCCGCCGCTGCGGCTGCGGCTCGACTGCGGCCACTCCGCCGGGTGTGCTGCGGGCGTCCTCCGGACCGCACACGCTTTTGTCATGGTGGAGCTGCGCGCGCCGGCGGGCGGCGGGCCGTCCGCCGCCGCGGGCGAGCCGCCCGCGGACGAGGCGGAGGCGGCGCGTTCGGCGGAGGCGGCGCTGGTGGCGGAGATCGTCTGGCAGTACCTGCGAGGCGCGCGGCCGACCTGGGGTCGCGCGGCCGCTGACGGCCGGCTCGACGAGAGCGTGTTTGTCGTGACGCCGCACCACGTGCAGCGCGTGGCCGTCTTGCGTGCGATCGAGGAGAGGCAGATCCCGTTGCAGCACGTTGAGGTCGCGACGGTCGAGAAGGTGCACGAGGAGGTGTGAACAGCGTCTCTTCACACCCCACTGCTGTGAACAGGTCGCGACGGTCGAGAAGATGCACGAGGAGGTGTGAACAGCGTCTCTTCACACCCCACTGCTGTGAACAGGTCGCGACGGTCGAGAAGATGCACGAGGAGGTGTGAACAGCGTCTCTTCACACCCCACTGCTGTGAACAGGTCGCGACGGTCGAGAAGATGCAGGGCCAGGAGCGCGACCTCGTGGTGGCGTGCTACGCGGGTCTGGATATGCGCAGAGAGAGGGGGGGTATAGACCCATGTGCATTCCAGCGTCCGGCGGACTCCGCGGAATCCAGTGTATTCGTTGCCCCGTGTCCTCCCGCACGCTGCCCTCCGCCGCCGTCGCCAACGCCGCCCAGCCCACCGCCGCCCTCGCCGCCCCCGCCCTCGCCGCCTCCACCATCTCCGCCGCCACCCTCGCCGCCACCGCCGTCCCCACCGCCACCCTCTCCGCCGCCACCCTCGCCGCCGCCC